ATTGGGAGCTCTACTTCGATGAATAACACGATGGCAAGAAGGGCTATGGATTCAAGGAGTGAAGGCCATGATATCGTAGAGACGAGTCTTCCGTGCGTGCATCGAGTTTTGCATTGGATGAAAACCTTGGTTATCAACATATGGGGGCTATGTTCCACTAAGGGAAAAGTTCGAATACAAGTACCAGTAAGTCCCATGGGAGGGACTTGATCATGCATAGGTATGATCGAAGCAGCTGGAGAGTTGGACTGCTCTAGAGCCCATATTCGCTTAAGAGAGCCCGGCAAGTCAAAGGATAAGGTCGAGTAAGCGAACATTGCTACCAAGGAAGCTAAGGAGAGCAGAATCGGTGCGAACCCTACAACATGATGGCAGAGGCTATGCATGAGAGTTGTAGTCTGTCTTTCCATCGACCAAAGTGAACTGCTTGGAGAACACAAAGATGTTAAAGCAAGGGGTCGAAAGGGGCGACGAAGAGATGACAAGTCTAGAGGGACTTAGCTACCCAAAATCAAGCATCAGTTCGAATGAAGGTGGACTCAAAGAAGTGCCACAGATACATATCTACTGATCGTGAAGAAAAGGGATGCAGATGTGAGGTGACGGATAGTAGGGCCATGGGCATGGCAGCGCCATGGTACCGTAGAGGCGGGACTTCCATGAAAGTCATTGATCCCTTGCTCTCATGAAGGGAGAGCGCTTTGTTGTGAAAGGGGTCATGGAGGTGGAGCATGCAGAGGCAAAATCCAAATACCAAGACAAGACTGAAGGGTAGAGGCTAAGGAACTTCGTAAGACCGGTGTCAACGAGCTTCTCATCAAGATAGTCGAAAGTGAAGGACTTCGGGTCGTGCAAGAGTGCATGACCAAGGAACAAAGCAAGCAATACGCGGTGCTATACCTTTGTTACTTAGTGGAGAAGGCGACAGGGTTGATGGAGAAGATGATACAATTCCAAAGGTGGCCAAAACTATTAGAGACTTACTCTAAGTTGGGGTGAAAACTTCCTATATTTCAGAAGTTCGATGGCATTGAGAAGGTGAATCACAGTAGCCAACTCAATGCAAGGAGTGCAAACACTTCAAGTGCTTCAAAAGTATGAGCAAAGAGCAGGCGAAGGTCAGTAACCAGCTCGATGCATGGAGTACAACCCTTGAGGAGGAGGGCGAAGTCAAGTAACCATTGCCTTCTCAACTTTTAAAAGAATGGGTGAAATCGAGTACCCCAATTATCTTATCTATCTAGCAGAGGAGCTCTACACAGGTTCAAAGACCCTTCAAAGATAATGGAAGACAATAGTTATCAAATCCTCACTAATGGTGATCAGTGCTACTAAGAGTAGATTATCTGCTTCATTTTCCAACAGAATACCAATTGAAAGTGGAAGTGATGCGAATCTACTTGGAAGTGATAACTAAATAAAAGAAGAGTTGATAGGAAAATTTCGTGAAGGAATTACCAAAAACTTTATAAGTTTATGAGGCGATGCTCGTTAAAACTCCAACAAGCATCCACACAGTTCATGCAGCATGAGAAATTTGAGAAACTGACGCATAGTAAGGATGATTTTTTCCTTCATTTGGAGGATCCGTAGGAACCAACAGGGATCAACATAACTCAATTAACCCCACACTAGAGTCAGAGTCATTGGTGAGTTGAAGCAGCATGGCGGATCAAAAGTTTGACTACTCAATAACAGCAGCAAAGAGCAGCTAGGAACCAAGAGGCGCATTGCAGTTAGAGCAGAAGATTGAAGACTTAGCAAAGGCGAGGAGTTGTAGTGTCGGCAAAGGCTTCGACGAGGACGTCGAAGGAATAAGTGGGGGAGAATGTCACATACAAAATTCTAAACAGGATGTTTGATGTAATGCTTATTTATGTCCATGCCTCTTGATTTGTTCATGCTTTGCACAGCATGTAGAGGGACGATCGAAGGCTTAGCAGTCCCATTTTAGTTGGGTTTGGTGGTCATTTTAGGCTTGTAAATAAAGGTTGTATCATGTGGACACTTGTGAGAGAACTCGGTCTGTAGTGGATCATTTTAACCCTTTGTTGTGCAATCGTTCAGAGCTTGTAAAGTTTGTTTGTAATTTGCATTGTTTATGAAGTGTTTCCTGAAATGTTTGCTTATGGATCTCGAGTGAGACACTTTCTCTAACTCGTTCTATCTTTTGTAGGTCCTAAAGAACTATAGGAGGTTTCAGAGAGGTTGACCTTTATGGACGGACACGCAAGGGTATCGTAAGACTTAGATAAAACAAACTAAGTCCGTGACATACAATCGTATGATATGTTTTGTTCTACAGTAGCCATAGGAACCATTCCTCTTTTCCCGTTGACGTCTTTCCTTAGATCAGATGACTCCTTCCACACAGATCCACCGCTGCCGCCTTCATGTTTTGTTCCACAGTAGCCGCTCGAGCTGTTCCTCTTTCCCAACCTCAATAGATAGAAATATGATGTCATATGATTTGAATATATAGAATTAAGAAGCCAAATAGTACTTATTATCTGACATGTCACAACTTATAGAGGTAGAATGAAGTGATGCAGGTGAAGTTGAGTGACTATGGCTTCAACACCTATAAGTGTTGGGCTAATCGAGGAAGGCTCGCTAGTTGCAACTGTGAGAGTCTTTTCAGCAAAGTTTAGGGCATTTGTTGAATCATAATACATCCAATATGACGATAATATCTATAAATTGGATATAATTTTGAGAATAATTTGATTGGCTTGCTAGCTTTGGGAGGTACGATTGTGTCTTATATTTGAATGGTGTTATAGCAGTTACAAGAAGAGTGATTTGGGAATAGGTCGAGGGGCATGCAATGTGTTTCTGAAAGGGCAAACCATCTAAGAAAGGAAGTGGATTGCGACAAAAGCAAAGAGGCACAGCCCAAACATGTTCAAAATCATCATTTAAAAATCATTAAAAACTGATTTAATTTTAATTTTATCACTGTATGTATCAAATAGTGCAGTAATATATTTTTGCATTGCTTCTACAACTCTTGACAATGTTCAAATCATATGACTTGAGATTCTTCAAAATTCTCCTTTAAAACTCCTACATCCAGTATCTCTAAGGTTTACACCTCTAATGGGTCAGCACTTTTCAATTTCTACTTCAAATTTGACAATTTTTTATACATATGTATATTATTATTATTATTCCTGAACTTTTATTAAATTTATTATCACTTGGTCAATTGTGTGACCTGAGATTTAATATTCAATTTTCTACTATTGGGTGCACTATGCAGGATCAACAAACCAAGCTATAAAGTTGGACATTTGTTCTTCCTCACTCGACTTCATTTTCCTTGTACAGTTATTACATTCACTCACAAAGCTATGAAACCTATACCATTGGATTTATGGAATTCTCGGTTACCACATACTTCAATTTCTCGATTAGAAATCTTAGTCACCAGTGGTCAATTGGGACATCTATATTGAGATATCTATCATAAACACACAAAGCATATCGAGATTAATCGTCATTTTATATGACATCATCATCTTCGATGTGAAAACTTGCAACTTTGTTCGATCAACACCGACGACCAACCAACAGATGATATATTTTTCAAGCCATTATCATCACGACGATTTAGCTTTTTAGTTTCCAAACTTAAACTAGTTTATACAAAACCCATATTAAGTTTGCAAGGGCATGTCAAAGTTACCGTATAGAGGATTAATTAGATTTTTTATATCCCTTAATTAGATGTTGAATCGTTGATTAGATTATATTTTACCCTATAAATAATAGGGTTCTAATTACATGAATAATATATGCTCTTTCAACTCTTACATATAGAATATATTCCAAAATTCTATAATTTAATCATCATAAAATCCAAAAAAAAAAAGTACTAATAATCTTAGAACCATAATATCATTGTGGTTATGTGAAAGTTTAGGTTGGTTAAGTATAAGTTGATAAACTTACACTCACTCGATCATAGTATCGAATCAAAAAATCCTAAAATTTGATAATTAATTTTTTTAAAAAACTTTTAAAAATAAAAAAAGAGATATTCTATGAAAGTTTAGGTTAGTTTAGTGGAAGTTGGTTCAACTACACTTTCAACTAGAATAAGTTGTTGTACTCAAATTACACTTAATCCAAAAAATTCATGAGTTTATTATTATTATTATTATTTAAAAAAAACATCTTAGCTAAAAAAGGTGTCATTCAATAAAAAACAATAATAATAATTTTTTTTAATAAAGTACGCGACACTCTTTCGGCTAACTTTAATTTACCTTGTTAAAATTCTCCTCATGGCAATAAGTGTATGACATTTTACCAACCCATTAAACACCCACATGCTTTGACATACAGAAAGCCGCCCCTCTCTAGTCAACGCTTTACCCAATAGATCTGCTAAACATGATTAAATATTTCAGGAAGATTGTGCACTCAGATACCCACCTATTTATTCTATCTCTCGAGTTGGTAGGTACATTCGACAATGACTTCCTCTATCATTAGCTATGCATTTATGACCTTCAATACAGCATTCAGACGCACATCCTCGGTTCTTTTGTCGTATTCCTCCTCGTGGTGTCACGCTCACCGATGTTCGGACGTACATGCCATAAAATGACTAACATTATTTGTATCTTCTATTATTTTTTCCTCAATTGTCTAAACTAGAATAAATACTATTCAACGCTCGTTGTGGATTAAAACTAAGCCATCCATCTGCATCCTTATGATCGTTGCAATCATAAGTCCGAACGTCGAAATGCCAAATGTCACGCAGGTGTTGATCCTTTAAAGGTGTCCTCATCTGCCAAATTCCACCGCCACGTGGCGAGTGGTGGAGGGGTGTGGTCTGCTCGACCAACTCAATCCCACCGACGGTGCAGGAGACGAGTCCACCAACTTCATATTTATTATTATTATTATTATTATTATTATTATTATTATTATTGTTTATATATAAAAAAAATACAATTTATGGAGCTGTTGAGTCTTCTTTGGCCGTCTCTGTTGTCACCACGCGTGTCGCGGGGTTCCGTCGAACGATCGATCACTAACCGTGTTGGAACGGCGGCAAGATAGCGCGGTCGACGCGACCGTTCCCTCGCTGGAGACCGACGATTTCACATCTGCTTGAAGAGATCGGGAAGAAGAAAAGGAGTGAGATCATCCATCCTGTTTCCGCGTTCGGTGGTCGAATTCTTCCTGCCTTTTACTTTGAATGGTCCATCCCCTCGACGGCTTACGAGTTCTAGGTCTTCGAGAACTTCATCGGGGTGTCGCTTGAGGTAGACGATCTGGATTCTGTTAGGTTCGATCTCTTCTCTCTTCTTTGATGGCTTCCTCTTTGTTCTTGTTGTACGCTTCTGGTTCTTGTTTGGTATGCTTGCCTTGTTCGCCATTTTGTCCGTAATGGAGTAATTAATCACTGTCCTGGATTTCCCAGGAGTTCATGGAATGTGGTTTAGAGCAGCAGAGCTGCAATTTGGTCGGTTTGATCTCTTCTTGCTTCTTGAGCAGCTCCCTTTTTCATTACATCTTACCCTAATTCTTTCCCGGGGGATGTTGGTTTATCATTTAGTTCAGAGTTGTTTTAAATGATCTGATAATTGAATTCTCGCAATTTCAATATACCGAGCATGTTTGACCGCACAGAGGATTCACATGTTATGAACTCTGAATCGTTAGATGGAGTTTCTTAGAAGATTAGCAACTTTTGGTATTACCTTTCGCGGCTACATATTATTGTTAGAAGAACTCTTACTCTTACAGGCAAAGAACTCAATTTTAATTTGGTGTGATTATCTCGAGAAGGTTGGGTAGGAAGAGTGATGGACTCAAGAATTGATGCTGGCTAGCTGCAAGTTAGGGAAGCTAGTGGGTTTCACCAACCAAGCATATGGAGGGTTGTAAATGCAAAAGTTATTAGATTTGGGCTAGGTTTAGTCGGTTGGGTGGAGGAGCTTATATGCAACTAATGCCAGTGTGGTGTATGACAGATTGCGAGGCAGTGGAATCTTGGGTGAAGGTACCATAAATTTAATTGTCTGGAAGAAGGGGTGGGGGAGGATGTTGAGCATCTGTATCATTCTAAGATTACATACCCACTCCCTACACTTTGCCACTGGAAGGAGCCTCTGTTTTAATTTTCATGTCAGGCTATGCTGAATCTGAATTAGTTTTTTTTTTTTGTCTTAAAGATTTTAATGACAATGTAAAAATATAAAAAAAATTGTTTTCTTTTTTTTTCTTTTTTCCAGATAACGAACGTTTCATTGCTGTTAGACTGTAGGCAGCATACATATAATATCTGATAGCTGCGATTTGCAAAACAAATTGATATGGTCTGTTCCTGTTTCAACGCTCTACTATCCAGAAGAAAACATCGTCAACATTCTGAGCAAGAAACAGGTGGTAAGAAAAATTTGAAAGCATCTACGTTTTTGCTTTTGTTCTATCTTAGTATGATGGCGGCTTTCAAGTTTCAAGGAAGTTCACAATAGCCAGGAATGAGTAGTTTAAATATGGTTTATTGTTCTCTCAGAAAGCTTTTTATAATTGTAATAGTCATTTTACTTCTTCTTGATCTGTTTGATGCTTGTTGCATGTCAACTATCTTACATGTGACTATTTAGGTTGACTTACCTTAATCATGTCACTAATATGTGTTATAATATTTAAATGTGGTTAAACATGTATTTTTTTCTTCGGTCTCTGTTTTTCTTTGGGTGTGTTTAGATGAATCTTTTGTACTTGCTGATCTCATTGCTAATGCTTTACCTGAAGCATGTTCTATGAAAAGATTCTTTTGTAATATGATTTTATCACAGACTTTTTTCTTTATATATGAATGTCTTTTCTGTGTCTATCCCAAGGCAAATTACAAATGTTTCTCATTTTTTGCTTGCATGTAATGTTTTTTTGTGATTTCCTATTAGTTGAATGGTAATTTTCTCAAAAGATGTTACTTTTCACTGGCAGAGCAATGCATGTGTTGCTTAAATTAGATTAGCAGGTGGAATAATAGATTTTCTCTGTCAATCAAACAATCTTCTAGTTGACCTGAATTAAGGTGAAAGTGCAACCTAGGCTCTTATTTGCACAAGTACAGGATTAATTATTATATTTTACTAGGACAAGTCATGTAGCTAAGCTAAAGGCACTCTTAATGATAAATAAACTATGTTAAATTTTTGGATGCAAAAGACGTTATTTAACTTAGTAAAGATCTTGATAGTCTATTGTAAAAGATTGTAGGTACAAATCTCATCTTCATCACTTATTTTTTATTAAAAAAAAAATTAAAGACTCACCTTGGAGTACTTAACAAGTATGAGATGATACCTAGGGCAGGATAGAAAGTCTGAAAAAAGATGGAGGGCAGTGAGAAACTTTAAAATTTATGGTTAGATATTAAAAATAATATTTTAAAAATGAAGGCTTAGAAGGCAATCATGTGTATCCTTTCTAGGACCAAGTTGTTGTATTGATGTTGTAGTCCAAAGTAGCTAAGGTGGATGCAAGAATAGGCTGTGCTAGGAGGAAAGGTGGAGGAATCAAATATTAAAGGCTATAACTTCAAAAATGGAGGCTAAGAAGGCAATTACGTTGTTACTCCTGAGGCCAGAGGTTGAGGTGAAATCTGATGTGTAAGTTTAAAAGTACAGAAGTTGGACGCCAAAACAGAGCGTGAGATGTCTCTGAATTAAGAGGTGAGGTGGACGGATCACAGATTGTGGATTTACTTCCTGGAATACAGGAGGTTGCCTGAGAGGTCTCTGAATGGATTCCTCTTCCTCTGATTCTCCAGTCAGGCTTTGTTTTCATTGGGTAGCGGCAGAATCTGAACTTCATAAGAAAGCTTTCCAGACACACACCCGGCAGCCTGGTGGCTTTCTTGTCCTCTCCCCATGACTATGCACCTCGAAAGTGGTGTAGAGTGTTGTCTAGGGAGAGTAACTTCTCTCCCATGCAAGATGATCGTGAGTTTCTCGGCCTCTTTGGGCTGGGTGACACCGGTCTGGCCCTTGGCTACACTAAGCCAAGGCCGAGTTGAGAGAAGCCGACTCCCTGTAGTCGAGTCCACAACTTGACACCCCGCACTGGATTATCAACCAAGCTGATAGGCTGTGAGTCATTTCTTTAGAAACGGGTCACATCAATTTGGTAACGGTTTTTGAAAGCTTATTCAATCACAGGTGAAAAAAATAACTCGGTAACATATTCTTGAAAATCGTTACATCTTCTTCCTCCTATGTAATTCTCATAGTGGAGTGGGTTTTAGCTTTTTACACTAGAACTTGCAACTTCTTGTGCATTTAATGTTTAGAAAAAAATTGATCGCAAACTTGAATAGGTAACACACGATATTTATTCTGATATTGACTTCTGCTTCCTCTATCCAGGGTTTTCATCTGACAAAAATGTAAGGCTTATCTCCTATGATGAACTGAGATCAGCAACGGATAATTTTCATCAAAGCAATAAGATAGGTCGGGGTGGTTTTGGAACAGTATACAAGGTGCACATAATTATCTTATTCTTCTTGCTTATCATTACTATGATGGAGAAATGTACTTGTTCTGTCTATCGAACATGCAGCTTTCTATGTAAATATATAAGGTGCACAACTTTCTCCTCTATCTTGCATGACTGATCTGGAACGGTCAGCTTGATCTGATCGGAATAGGATGAGAAAATAATTAAAAATAAAAATATTGAAAACTATACAAAAACAGAAAAACCCTAGAGGAAACATAAAATTTGAAAAAAAAGAAAAAAAGAGGAGCAACAGTGAATTTAATAAGCATATAAGATTTTTCAAGATGAGTATGTTGAATATGATTTTGAGAACTATGTTGAATATGTTAGGATGCTGTATTAGGATGCAATCTGGTCTTCTTAATCTTCCAGCATGCACGCATACTACCTAGAATCATCTTTTTGTAAAGGTTATCAGACTTTTATGTGTTATTGTTTTAATGAGGTTGCCATTGTCACTTTTGAGCATCTATTTTCTGGAAAATATATTTAATTATATGAAATTAGGACCTCTAATCATAGTGATAGAATTGATAGAATGAAAAATTAAATCGTAAAGGCAAAGAAAAGTACACTTCAATTAGTGTCATATGTTGTCTATTTATATACGATGAAGGAGAGGATCTTTCTCAACTGAGCAGCAAGATTTCCTTGTGCAGTTGGGGAAATCTCATCTGCTATGCAGTTGGGAAAATCTCTCTGTTATCATGCCCCGCAAGATTAAGCTTCTGTCAAGGATGTCGATCGTGGATCGATGCAACAAAAATAGTTTACAGGTTAGAGGCTTCATGAGTGAGTTTGCTAGTTGATCATTCGTATGTACATGAGAGACACAAAGTTGATGTCCGACAACTTGATCTCGTACGAAGATAAAGTTGATGACAATGTGTTTCATGCATGAGTGGAACACTGGATTGACATATAAGTAGGTAGCTCCAATATTGTCACAATATATTGTAGGAGTAAGGGTAGAGCTGACATTGAGTTCCTTGAGGAGATTTGTAACCTAATTGAATTTAGCAGCAACGATAGTGATGACACAATATTCAGCTTCAGTTGTAGACCGTGTGACTGTCTTTTGCTTCTTAGAACTCCAACTGATTGGATTAGACCCAAGAAAGACAACAGACCCTGACGTGGAGGTTCTATCATCAAAGTTTCTCGCACAATCAACATCAACAAAGGCATGGAGATGAAGTGTGGTGTGTTTGCGGAGAAAGAGGCCATGATTAAGGATCCCTTTAAGATACCACAAAATTCGTTTAACCGCAGACTAATGTATAGCAGAAGGCTGGTGCATGTATTGAGATAATTTATTGACTGCAAATGAGATATCTGGACGGGTAAGAACCAAGTACTATAAGGAGCCAAGTACTTGTCGGTATTGAGTTGAGTCCGTAGTAGGGCTGCCATCACATAATTTGAGTGATTCACTAGTAAAGAGAGAAGTTGCAACCTCTTTTGCATCTTGCATATTTGTCTTTGATAATAAGTCTTGAATGTACTTTCTTTGTGATAGGAGGAGACTTGAGGATATAAATGTTGCTTCCACTCCTAAAAAGGAACTCAATGGTCCTAAATCTTTGAGGAAGAATTGATCAGCCAATTGCTTTAGAAATGCCTGAATCTCCAAGGGATCATTGCCCGTGACAATAATATCATATACATACACTAGAAGATATATTATATTTCCATTTTGTTGTCGTAGGAATAAAGAGGTATTAGACTTGGAGTTGATGAAGCCAGTTGATATCAGAAACGATCCAAGTTCAGTATGCCAAGCTCTTGGAGCTTGACGGAGTCCATAAATGGCTTTTTGTAGTTTGCAGACATATTTCGGATACTGGTGGTGAACGAGGCCAGGGGGTTGCTGCATAAAGACATATTCAGTTAGAGTCCCCTGTAAATAGGCATTATTAACATCCAGTTATCGTAAGTACCAGCCTTTGGAGATGGCCAAACTTAGAATAAGTCGAATTGTTGTGGGTTTAACTACGGGACTGAAAGTCTTTGTGAAGTCAAACTCCAGGTCGTTGATGAAACCCTTTGGCTACTAAACATGCTTTATATCTAGCAACGGACCCGTCCGAGTTTCGCTTAATTCGAAAGACCCATTTACACTCAATGATGTTTTGTGTATGATGAAAAGGTACAAGAGCCCATGTAGAGTTATGGAGTAGGGCATCATATTCTTCACACATGGCTTTACGCTAGTGTGGAGATTTTTGGGCTTGAGTAATTGTGGTAGGTGCACTGGTCTCAAGAGAGGATTTTATGATAGCATGTAGGTCGAGAACCTGACGTGGTTTAAAGATACCACTTTTTGATCGTGTTGTAATTGGATGTCTAGGAGCTGTAGGCTGTGTTATTGGTATGAGTGGTGGAGAGGCATTGACACGGGTCGGGGTAGGCTGAGCAGTGGTACTAGGTCCAAAAGAGGGTAAAGAAGGTTGTTGTGTTTCTGAGGATATTACTTCAGTAGTAGGTGAGGCTTGTGAGGAAGGAAGATGAGAAGTAATGGAGGGAGTGAGGAGCTGTTGAACCGGGAGGACAAAAGAGTGTGATCTTTAGGAAAAGGACTTGATGGTGTGGTGAGAGACTCATTTGAGGGGATCGATGGTATACTCCAGTGATGCATATTTGTTGGAGTAGCTTGCATGGTAGGAGACTCATGGTTTTGAAATGGAAAGGTAGACTCCACAAAAATAACATGATGTGAAATAAAGACTTTTTGAGTTTTGGGTTCGTAGCATCGAAAAGCATTATATTCAAGAGAGTATCCTATGAAAATGCAAGGCTTAGATCTTGGTATTATCTTGTGTGAGGCATAAGGACGTAGCTATGAATAACATAAACAACCAAATATTCTGAGTTTTTGAAGGTTTGAGAATTTAGAAATAGTTTTTCAAATGGTGACTGGTATTGGAGGACTAGAGTGAGCATACGATTAATAAGGTAGACGACATGTCACGGCCTTAGTTGGAATTGCCTAAGGCGTGAGGCACCCTTGCGGTAAAGACGCGAACTTAGCTTGCGTGGCCTAAGTCGTGAGGCACCCTTGCGGCAAAGACGCGAACTTAGCTTGCGTTGCCTAAGTCGTGCTTCGCCCTTGCGATTTGCGTCCATAAAGATCAGACCACTTGCAACCTCTTGCAGGTCTCGAAGGACCTGTAAAAAGAGAAAGTTGATTAGGTCAAAGAATGAGCGACGGATAAGTCCCGACGTCTCGCGAAAAGGGGAAGCTTTACAAGCAATTCAACGAGCACCTTGCGTGCACAAGAGAAAAAGAGGGAGAGGGGGAAAACAAGGACTTTAGAAGGTTGAACGAATAGCTGCAAGTCCACAAACAACTGCTCACCGGGTGCCTGGCGCGACAACAAGTTCCCGTCAAGGTAACGTGCGAACTTGCGAAAGATTGTTCAACGCCCGACACTATACTGAAGCCCCATCCAACATTATGCCACCCAGGGGGTTCCAAGGGGCTGAGATGGCTGACGTTTTGTGAGTGGAGGCGGACTGCAGAAAACAGCCCGTGGCACACGAAAACGGAGCTATTTTGGGTTATTTTAAGGCTGTATTTCTCGGTTCGGTGAGTGGTCGCTTTGTAGCACTGTAACTTGTTCGAACTTACATTTTTACAAGCAAAATGACTCAAAACCAAGACAAAACATGCTGCCAAACATCTGTACATGTAGATGAGAGCGACGAACGGTTCGTTGAACGAAGTTGTTGCGGGTGCGCGACGACTGTTCGTGACATTCTCCCCCACTTAAACTGTCAACGCCCTCGTCGACGCTTGTTGGTAGTTGTTGGTAATTGTTTCTTCATGTCGCAGGGCGTCTTTGGGCTCCCAACTGGCTTCAGTTCGGGGAAGCTTTCGCCACTTCACCAAGTACTCGGTCTGCTCAGCTCCATTGGGTAGCTTTATCTTACGATCCACTAAAATGGTTTCAACTTGGTTCTCGTAGGAGACTCTGGTGGGGGGTAGCCGAGTTGGAACACTTCGGGAAGCATCTTGCGGATCCGAGTAGTAGGCTTTTAGGTTGCTGGCGTGAAGAACGTTGTGAATTTTGAACCACGCCGGCAGTTGCAACTTGTAGGAGACGTTGCCTACCCTGCTGATAATTGGGAAGGGCCCTTCATACTTGCGTATCAATCCTTTGTGGACTTTGTTCCTAAAGAATTGGAGTGATGCTGGTTGGAGCTTTACCAACACCAAATCGTCGATCTTGAACTCTTGCGGTCATCTTCCCAAGTCTGCCCACTTCTTCATCCTTTTTGCTGCCTTCTCCAAGTAAGCCCGAGCAATATCTACAATTCGGTGCCACTCCTTTGCGAAGTGGTAGGCTGACAGACTACTCCCAGTATACCCAATTGCCATAGTGTGAGGAGTTGACGGTTGTTGTCCTGTAATAATCTCGAAGGGGCTCTTGTTGGACGCAGAGCTCCGCTACAAGTTATAGGAGAATTGGGCAATGTCCAATAACTTCACCCAATCTCGTTGGTTGGCACTCACGTAGTGTCGAAGATATTGCTCCAGGAGCGAGTTTATCCTCTCGGTTCGGCCATCCGTATGGGGGTGGAGGCTTGTGGAGAAGTATAACTTGGATCCCAACAATTTGAATAGCTCGGTCAAGAATCATCCCAGGAACCGAGCATCTCGATCACTAATGATATTGTGCGGGACTCCCCAATACTTCACCACATCCTTCATCATCAGCTTGACCGCCTCCTCTGCTGAACAGTGTAGGGGAGCAGCAATGAAAGTTGTATACTTTGAAAATCGATCGACTACCACGAATATCGATCCCAGTCTCCCTACTAGTGGCAAGCTTGATATGAAGTCCAAGGAAATGCTCTCCCACGGCCTTTCTGATACGAGCAACGGCTCCAAAAGTCCCATCGACTTCCGCTGCTCCGCCTTGTCTTGTTGGCAAGTGAGGCACGTTCGAACATATTCCTCCACATCAGTCCCCATCT